AGATCTGACAGGACAAAGCTCAGAGCAACTTTGTCTGATCTCAGAGCTGACCCTGCTGTGAGCAGGCAGCCGGACTGGAGGTCTCTTCTGGGTCCTTCCAACCTGAACGATTCTGTGATCCCAAGGAAACGAATCCTCTGTTCAAGAGCCCCCAGGCTCTCAAAAGTTTCCGCTAAGAGCACCTGGTGAAGACAGATGACTAAAAGCAACTCTTCTTCTCACTGACAATGTAAGAGTTTACAAGTTTTCTGTGGCTTACTTCCCACACCAAACAGGGATGAACTGGAAATTCATTGTAACTGGACAGAAATATTCAGTCTAGAAATGTTAAATCTAGAAATCTGTCAAACATCAGATGAAATACTAGCGGTCTGGTAATACACAGGAGATTACTACTAGAAAACTATTACAGAATCAATTTTGATACCAAACGATATTTAGAAGTCTGTAATTCTTTCCTTAAATAAAAGACTATGAATCATTTTGGAATGAGTTACCACACAAATTCAAATGCCATTCCTGCAAATTAATGGCCGTGATTAAACTGATGTGACTCTGTTGACTTCAAAATCTCATTTCAGTAGAGCTTATACCAGCTAAGATTTGTCCTAGGATTCCAAACTATGCTTGATAAATTAAGGGGCATATACCAACCCACATATTCATCACCCACTGAAAAATGCAAAAATTCAAAGAACAGGCTGTTACATATCTTTACTTGCATTAAATAGCAGATGAAAATCCAACCGAGATAGCTTAGCATTCAGTAGCTATCACAGCTACTTAGCCTTTGCACATCATAAAATAAACACCTTAATTTAACTACAGCAACTTGTCTCTGTCTTACACGTATATGCCTAACACTTTTTTGGATCTTCTCCCTGAAAAATTGTAGAATACTTTTCTTCCCATGCAACTTCTTTTAATGGCAAAACTAATTTCCAGATTTGTCACTGAGGTTAGGTAACATCCTACAACTCTCTCCTGTTGATGTTCTCTAATTTGAGCACTTCTCCTACTGATCTGCTTGGCTGTGATCCACAAGATCCTGGGAGACATCTGAGATTCTAGTAGCTCCTGTTCAGCCACGGAACAGAAAGAAAGGCCTTCTTAAAGCTCACTAGCTACTGGAGCGAGTTTGTGACAAATTCCAGCATTCATCCTACGTATTGTCTCAGGAGCTTGGATTTCATAATTGTGATCCACGAAAAATATTTGTGAGTGCTCAGTCAAGTTTCTGAAAAGAAACGGAGAATGAGATTTGGCAAATTCACATTTATTAACTAAGGAAATTGTGAAGAAGATGCGCTTATGTACATGTAGGTTATGCTAGCGAGTCCATTAACACATACACCTTGATGGTGCATATAAGTAGATGTAATCAAAACTAAGAGACATGTGGATCAGAGGACAACAAGCGGAATATAAAACTGCAAAATGTCTTCAGAGTAGTTTCATCTAAGACACCACTTGCCTCTTGCTAGTTATGATCGTGTTTCTGGGAGTCCAGTATTATATATGTCCAGAATAAACACATCCAACTAGGACAAAATGCTTTGTGCATACTACTGCACAAAATGAAAACAGAATTAGCTAGTTCTCATAAGCAGAAATTCCACAAGAATTTGTAGCAGTCACCTACTTTTTGATGAAGTTGGTAAGCAAGGATCTTAAAAACTACTGATTTTCAACGTCAGGCTCAAATGCAGCAGTAAAACTTAATGCAAATGTCGACTTTGGCCTAAGTAGCAATGCGAGGCTAAAGAGATTACACACCTACAATGAGTTCCTACAGGATGCGGAACAATTTGGTTACAATCCAGTGAAGTACTCAAGTTCATGCTTAACTTTAAATGCATGAGCAGTTCCCCTGAAGATGATGGAACTACATCCCTAATGTTAAATATGCCCTTAAGTGCTTTACTGGGTTAGGGCCAGAAAGCTCGGTTCCTTACAGGAATGAGTTCAGAGCAGAACATGCAGCAGTAGCATAGCAGGGAATTCAGGACCACAAATACTTCAGGCTAAGTCCCTCTTGCAGTGTGCTATTGAGAAGCACAGTGCCAACACAGTGCAAATACAAGCAGCTGTGTGAGTGCAGACAGGTAAGAGGATGTCTTGCCTAAACGTAATCAGAATAATTACAGAAATCTGAAGAATGACAAGATCAGAAGCAAAACAAACGGCCACTACTCCCTATTCCTGCTGTGAAAAAAAATTGTGTTTTCAATTCCTACATAAAGTGACAGTCCGTGCCTGTGATCATGATCGTTGTACCTAACACCACACTGGAGCTGCAGAATTCAAGTGTACTCACCAAAGAAGACTAAGACCCGCAGCACCCTACAACACATGGCATCTGCAATGCAAAAGTCAGGCTGACATTCAGCATGGTCAGCCCACCACAAACGCCGTACAGGTCCTGTACTCCAGGCAACCATAATGCTGCAACACATTCATTTGCCAGGCACCAACACTGTCTTTAAAAGACTGGACTTTACAACACACGTTAAGTACTGTTGCTTGCTGCCATTCCTACACATCATACTACAACATACTCATGACGGCTCCGTGCTACGCGGCACTCCTTTCTGGCCAGAGCCACTGCTAGCTATTGCACACACTTCTACAAGCTGCTCACTGACGGACGTGCCGCACACCCTCTTTCTGCCCGTTCTGAAGCCTGCGTACTTCTGAGTCCAAGAAGAGCACGTTCCATGTTTGCAGGGACCCCCATGATTTGGTTAGAGACAGTAGAAGGATCTGGACTAAAACAACCCAGAAGCAGCAGCATATGCGCCTGTCATCTCCAAACTTACTCTGCAATAGCCTAGCCTAACCTTCTGTACTATAAAAAACGTATTAAAGCTGAACGACATGCATTTATTTCTATGTTTATACACCATAAGCACATATAATTAGCTTAAAAATGAAGCATAATTAGCCATGTAATGTTATAGGTCGTATTACTACACAACACCCAGATGTCCTGTTATCTCACAAAATATTAAAATACCACTTTCCTGTCAGTGGTAAACTGTATTTATTGTTGTGCCAAAATATCATGATTAATAACATCACCATAGTAAGGGATATAATGTTAAGTAAACAATCCTTTTAATAATTTTTAAAGTTGGGATTCTTCAGCATTGTAGCCAAATATAATTACATTTCCAGGAGGGACGAGCCTTTTGGGACACGAAAGTAACTTTGGAGTCACAGGAGTCTGATGTGAATCAGATCAATCCTTAAACAAGTGGATCATCGATTTTTCATATTCAGGCACTGGGAGGCAACGGAGACGGAGGACTGAGAGGAACACCAGTGAGACAGAAATACCTACTGCACCTTACGTGCATTATCTTACTCTATGACATCCACGAGACTCTTCTGGCATTTCTAGCGTGGGGCTTTAGAAAGTGTTTATAAAGGATCTGCTGCCCAAGGAGGTTTCTTTTTTTTTTGTTTTGCAGGCTCAGAAAGCACCTCACAAAGAAACCCCATGAGTAATTAGGAACAAGGAATACAAATTAAAAATCCAACTAGCAAATAGGCATTTTGGGATGAGGATGAGACTTCAAATGCATTCAGCAAGTTTGTCTTGGGAGAACACAGAAATCATGCAGTAAGATACAAACTGGCACTGGAAATCAAAGGATTGGCTCCGGCTCTGTTGCGAGAGTTTCACTATTTACTTCAGCACGGTTGTTTCACCCACATATGGGGTTCTCATTCCTAACTATGTCCTCTAACACTGGCAATAGTCTCGCAGCTCAGTAGGGAGACAAGCAGACTGAATCACACCTGTGCTCCAGTAGTTTGTATTTGGAAGAATCTTGGCACTGCGCTCTGCTGTGGGCTAGATTTGGGAAGCCAAGGAGCGACAGTAAATCTACCACACTTCTTTGAAGGAGTTTCCAACAAACTCCCATCTTAACACAGCAAGGATTCAGGGGTTAAGCTGCAAAGTCCCTGGCTGGTGGGGGAGCTGCAAAAGGCCAGGGCTTGCTTTATGATGGCTTGCTCGATCCCCTACGGCTGTCCCTGATACTTTTCAGTGTTGTTCCTTTTGCCACAGCTCTGAAAAGACTTCTGAGTGTGACTTAAAAGCATGGATGGGCCTTGCAAAAGCACCTTCTTCTCCTGAATTACATTTTTAGCTTCTTGAATTTCATTTCTAGTTCATTTCTTTATTAGCTACGGAGGCCACAGCAAAGCCAGTAGCCTTGCCCACCCTGCCCTCCATATGCACAGCCCACCCTCAAAAGGAGGAAGGAGCTGAAGAGAGAGTGTTAGAGAAGTAGGTGACCAGGGGATCTCCATGAGATACCACTGCCTGTGAAAATGTAACCACTGCAACAACAAAGACATATCTCCTGTTGCTGTCTGCTGGGCATATGGGTTTGGGGGGGTGGCTGTGACCCCTCTCAAGCAGGACCAATCCTGAGAAGTTTGGGAAACACCTACCACCGAACAAGCAAGCATAACTAACTAGCGAGCAATGTGGATAACAACATGCACCGCCCAGCGCACGGGAGTCAATCTGATGGGCTTTTTTTTTCAGCTCTGATATAGATGTGAATGCACTGAATAAGGTAGGAGATGCTTTATCTAGGCTGTACGGAAAATACAATGAAATACGCTAATCCTTGACAGAAAAGGGCACATTGAGTGAGGAGCCTGAGACTCGGGCCTGACCCAGGATGCCCTCAGGTGTCCCGTCAGACATGTCCTTCCCAAGACATAGGTGGGAATGACACTCCAGGATCTGGTAAGGGACCAGCTTTTTAGAAACAGAAAGTGCTGGAGAAATCATTAGAGCTGATGGAGCCAGGGCTGATGCGCAACGCCTGGCACGGCTCTGAAGTTCCCTGCAAACTTCACGTGCTTTCAGGTCAGGGACACCCCACAAGTCACGCACAGCGACACCAGCCACAACGACAACAGTGACAACAACGGTGTGCAGGAGGAAAGCTTAGCAAAACGATTGCCAGACTTACAGGGCTATCCTTGTTCGTGACGAAGTGTGTCACCGCACGGGCTTGTTCCTTCACCTCCTCCATCCCAAAGATGCAGACGGCGCTGGCGTTCCAGGACTTGGTGTCGTTGCTGTGGCGGAAAACACCCGCCCACCAGCCCCGCTTGCCCTGGCGGACAAGGCTGGAGGAAACGATGAGGTTCCTGCACCCACAGTCCAAATACACATGCCCTTGCAAAGAAAAGCCTCTCTCTGAGGAGCCCAGCTGCTCCAGGACAGCCATGCTTGGTGACTCCGTGTCGTTGCCCAACCTGGCCTTCAACCTGTAGTAGGCGCGTCAACAAAGTGCAAAGGCTCCTCGTTGCGCTTGATGATGCCCAGCTCCTCCTTGGACTCCAGGTTGGCTATGCTGCGCACCGTGATGACGGTCGCCTCGTCCGACTGGGAGGGCTCGCAGCCCAGCCGGGGTCCGTAGGTGCCGGTCGAGTAGGTGGCCGCCACGGCCAGGTACCAGGCGCCGGCCTGCTGGAAGACGACGCCGGCGGTGGAGCCGTCAGGCAGGCAGCTGACCACCTCGCTGCGGTTCAAGCGCTGCCGGTAGGCCGGCTGCTCCCACA